TAAAGTATTTCATAATTCAAACTTTATTTAACATTTTGCCAAGTGTTTAAATCTTTTTCTGTCCATAGTGCCACAACTGAAACATATTACACGTTTATATTGCAGATAGTCAGGCAGAGGGCTCCCTTTCTCTCCTTTGTTTGGAAGCAGGAGGGGAAGGCTAAAACTAGATTCTGAACATTTCTAAGCATCCAAGGTCATTGTTTTGATAATGAGAAATGTTTTTATTGCTAAAAATGCTTGTTTTAATGGCATGATCTTTTCAATCATTCTAATTCCTTCCTTTCCCATATTTGCTATATGTTAGTCTTTATGGAATGACTTTACAACTCTGATGTCACCACTCTGACAAACTTCATCTACCCAGAGATTATTTCTAAGGAGGTGAATTTCCTGCTGAGGAAACAAGCCCTGTTATTGGAATAAATGTTGGGAAATCTGATGAAGTTGATATCCATGAACTGTTTAAAACTATAGGATCAGGCCCAGATTGGACATGTGTATACCATGACCTACCAACATATTCCTGATGTCTTGGCCACATTTTAAAAAGTTTATTTTTTATGAAGTTTAAAATGACTAACAGAAAAACATTTCCCTCCACCAGCTCACTGAATGGCTTTTCCTTGACCCATATTACATTCTGTGTCTATATCCTTACAATCTTCCACAAACATTTATGAGTCTTGCCCTATAAAGTCCAGGTGACAGCTTAGTTTTCTGGTGCAGCCAAGTTCATATCTTGAACTAAGCAAATGTCTTACACAAACAAGCCCAGGTCAGTTGCCCAGCACCATAGAGGGAGTCTGGAATGGAAAAACACTAGTTTATGAAACAAGTCTTATAACCCACTCTGTTACATTTTTGGCTGATTTTAGCTATCAGAAAAACAAAAACAGCTCTTTTAGACTCAATTGCCCTTCTTGGTCAAAAATATGACTGCACAGGAGTACTGGCTTACCGTATAATTTTTCTCTCTGTTTCCCTTGGGATGTTTGTAGCTTGAATTGACCTTGGAAGATTCCTGTCTTTTCTCCATGGTGTGTTAACACAGTTTGAATAGGGACTTCGGATTCTGCAGCTCCACTTCGAAGGGCGATGCAGCCTTCACCTAGAGTACAGTAAGGGACTTGATTTTTATCAGATAGCAAAGGGCTTTTTTTTTTTTT